TTTTCATTTCACATAGTAATATGTAGGCTATGTACAGTATGTTGAGGTGTGATTTTTTTTTAATATTTTATATTTTTATTTGCCTTCTCTTGAAATATTAATATAATCATATATAATCATTAATATTTATTTATTATTATTTATTTATTTATTAGTTTTTTTGAGACCAGGCCTCTCTGTAGCCTCAGCTGGTATGGAACTCACTTTGTGGACCAGGCTGACCTCAATCTCACAGAGATCCACCTGCCTCTGTCTTCTGAGTGCTGGGATTAAAGGTGCGCACCACCAAGCCCAACACCAGTGGGAATTTTTTAAAGCAGTGTATGTATTAGTAACTTTTCTATTGCTATGATGAAATACCATGATCAAAAGCCGCTTATGGAAAAGTTATTTTGACTTGGGGTTTCAGATGGCTGGAGTCTGTCATGGTGGGGAAGGTGTGGTATGGCACCAGGAGCAGGAAGCTGACTAATCACATTTTCATCTTCACATGGGAATGGAGGAAAGAGAGAACAGGAAGTAGGGTGAGGCTATAAACCCTCAAAGCCCACCCCTGTGACACACTTCCTCAGCAAGGCTCCACCTCCTAAAGGTTCCATAACCTCACAAAACAGCACCACCAACTGACCAGATATTCAAATACAGGAGCCTATTAGGGACATTTCTCATTCGAATCATAACAGCATATGACCCCATTGTTTTATTTTTATGTAGATCTTCTTGCAAATTATTTTACAAGTACTGTAAGACTTCAATCTTGAAAGGAACAAAAAGGGGGAGGACAGTGCTGAGTGAGGTGATGTCTGTAATCCCAGCACTCGGGAAGTGGAGGCAGGAAGATCATGAATTCAAAGCCAGCTTGAGCAACATAGTGAGACCTAGTCTCAAAAAAAATCTAACAAATGGGGGCTGGAGAGATGGCTCACCAGGTAAGAGCACTGGTTGCTCTTGCAGAGGACCTAAGTTTTTCCTAGCACCCACATGGTGACTAACCACCATCCTTAACTCCAGTTCCAAGGGATCTGATGCCATCTTCTGGCCTCTGTGAGCATTGCACACATGGGTGTACTTACATACATGCAGACAAAAACACTCATACACATAAAAATAAATAAATAGTAAATAAAAATGTAAAACTCTAACAAATGAATAAATAAATAAATAATAAAGTATAATTTGAATTGCAGGTAAAATATCCTCATAGTCATTCTCATTTGGTTTTTGTGTTCCTGGGTGAGTGTGTGTGTGTGTGTGTGTGTGTGTGTGTCTCAGGTCATTGCTTTTGCACATATGTTAACCTTTCATGCCAAAAATTAAGTTTTTTAAGATTTTTATTTCAAATTTTGTATATATGTCAGTTTACACATGTAAGTACCCAAAGTGTAGTACCCAAAGGGGCCAGAAGAGGACATCAGATCCCCTGGAGCAGGAGTAACAAGCAGTTGTAAGCCATCTGACGTGGGTGCTGCAAAACGAACTCATCTTCTAGAAGAAAAGAATGTGCTCTTACCCATTGAGCCAGCTCTTCAGTCCACTAAAATTTAATTTTAAGCAAAATTCAGCCAAGCATGATAGCTCATACTTAGAATGACAGAATTCAGGAGGCTGAACTAGGAGGATTGCCATGAGATCAAGGCCAGCGCTGGGGTAGATAGTGAGTACCAGTCCAACCAGGGCTACAGAGTGAGACCCTGTCTCAGAAACCAACCAACCAACAGCAAAAAGATTTGTGTTGTTGAGATTTGTGTTAATATTTCAGTTGAGAGGATTTAGGGAGCTGAGGACTCCAGGATGGGTTGAAAGTTGCTCTTCTTTTCGATATGGTCAGACCCAATCTTGGGAACTACCTGGGCATACCTCACTCATCCCAGAAAGTCCTCACTTATTAATCAGAATTATTATAAAGTGTAAAGCCCTCTGCTTTTAAATGCCACTGTGTTTATCTCCAATATAGCCAGAAGAAAATGGAATAGCACTTCTAACCCAGCTGTGCAGGGAAGACAAACTAATGACCACTGAAGGAATGGAAAAATAAATCATTGTAGACAAGACAGATGTACCTGAATATCAGAAGAATAAAAGAATAGCCCAGCTAAAGTCAATAGAATAAATTTTAAATAGAATGTCACAGCATGGTGAAAATGATGGGGCAGTTGAAAAGATTAAGTGGTTATAATCTAAAATATAAAGGATTGAGATACCAAAGGTCAGGCCCAGTGTCCTCATGGGAAGGAGTTAGGAGAGAGGAGTGTGGGGGATTCAAGACATGATGTCACCACGAAGGACAGACATGTTCTCAACAGTAATTTGAGAATTGAAAAGTATGACAAGTTTGGTGATGAAGTTATCAGTACCACCATCAGTTAGGATAGTCAGAAATGTGGGTTATAGTGTATTGCCTTTGTGTGGCAATGTGGAGAGATGTAATAAAATTAAGGACAAAGGCTGGGAGATGGCTCAGTCAGAAAATGCTTGCCACCAGGCCCTAAATTGGATCCCCAGAACCTGCATAAAAATGTGTGGTGGCATGTGCTTGTAATCCTTGCACTGGGGGAAGACACAAGTAGATCCTGGGGACTTGCTGGCCAGTCATTCTAGCCTAAGTGGTGAGCATTGGGTTCAGTGAGAGGCCCTGTGTCAGAAAATAAAGAAGTTGAGAAAGATATCTCAACATCATCCTCTGTCCTCCACATATACCCACATGGGTGAGTGCTCACACAGGGGCTCTTCTGTCTGTCTGTCTGTCTGTCTGTCTGTCTCTCCAATTCTGTCTATGTCTCTCTGTCTCTGTTTCTATTCTGTCT